TTTGTGATGAGAGAGACAAGAGAGAGAGTGTTGCAAAGATAATTTCTGAGAAGTTATTTTTCTCTTCTCTAAAAAATAACTTTTCTTTAGTCTTTGAGAAGATTTTCCAGGTTGCTATGAGAGAGAGAGAGAGAGTCTGGAGACTGCACTGCCTTCCTTGGGAAAGAAATTATTATCTTATATTTTAAGACCTTCTGTACTTCGACTTCTCTTATAAGAAAGCCGTGGTCTTATATCAGAAGAATTTTGCTCCATAAGAGAAGATATTCTTGAGTTCTCTTAGAAGAATTTCCTATCTTCTCTGAGAAGTCTGCACAATCTTTTACGAGAAGACTTTTCAATTCTCTATGGTTTTTCCGATTTATTTTTCTTCTTTCCCAATGAAATCCACCGTCGTATCACAGCTCTAATAACGTTGTTACTCTGTCCGCATGTGTACGGAAAGAAAAATCAAACGAGAAAGAAGAGAAACAAAAAAAAAAAAACTTGGTCGATTGCCAACAATTGGTTCAATTCATTAGAGATGAGATAAGATGAGCTGATGATGTCGGATGTTGTTGCTGCTGTTGTTCGGAGGCTCCTACAATTCGCAACCATATTGTTTGATATTCATTTATTGTTCGAGTTGTTGTTGTTGTCAGTGACATCCAATTGAAGAAGAGTTGGGTGGGAAAAAGTATCTCTGATGGCACCTCACAAAACCCAGTAGTGGCATCAAATACTTGTGGAGATAAAGAAAATTGCCTTCCTTGTTTGGGTTGTTTGTGTTTTTCCTTTTTTGAGGTGCACACCAGAGATTATTGGGCACAGATATAAGCTGCGATGGAACGCTTAATGAATTCGATACAATGACATGCAAAAGCAAGATAAACCACATGCGAAAATTATGACACAAACCCCCGGCAGTACTTCAAAGACCTGCCACAATCCACCTATGGAGGAGGGGCGTTTGTGAAGAAATTGATGTCTTTAGCTTTTGATTTTCATGAGATCTGGGGGTGGGGGAGGCTGGCATTTCAATTCATTGATGATGTGGATGATGGAATACAGCCTTGGGTTTTCAATTGTTGTCTGTGGACGAAATTAAAAACGAATTGAATTGCATCATTGCCATCTGCCTGGTGGCAGGCTGTTGTGTGCCATCAATTGTTGTCGACTTCGTCACCCTCTCAATTTAACATTTGTTGTCTCTTGAATATCAGCACCTTCTGCATATTCATGTGATTCCATCCGTTCCTCGATCCTTGGTTTTTTTTGTGACTGGGACCCCCTCAGACCCTCTGCTTGTCACTGATAAACTTTGACTGATAAAGAGGTTGTCAGCAAAATATCATTTTTTGTTATTTATTCCGTTCGTCAGTCTCTTTTTCTGTCAGCCAGGCAATCATATTACAATGAGGAATATGCCAATGGCTCTGATCATGATCACCAACCATCATCAGCAGCGGAGGCGCATTCATGCTCATGTTCATGATGGTGTTGTATCAAACGCCACACCGGAAATTAAAAAAGTCTGTTCGGGGCACACACATGGCTGGCTGGCTGGCTGCCTAAGTAGCTGCAGAAGTCAGGCAGGCAGCCAGGCACCTATAACTGGATGTTATGTTTCCTCCTTTTGATTGAATTGAATTAATGGGGCCACTAGAGGCTTCCGTCAGCTTTTCCCTATTTCTTTTCAACCCCCCCCCCCCCCCCTCCTCCTCCCTCTCTTTCTCTCCCCTCTACAAAAAACACTTTGGAACACAATTGGTGTTTTCTTTGTCAAGAGGAAGCTAAAGCAGGTTAACCGTTCCTCTGTTTACTTTCACATTGAATGGCAGGGTCACACCACCGACGACCAAATTCATTCAAACGCTACAAGGTTTCTTCAAAGTCTTTGTCATTGGTGTCAGCAAAGGACGATGATTTTGAAAAAAGGGTTGGCCACACATTTTAATATTGCTATTGATGTTTATCTAAATAATGGAATTACATTATCAATGTCATTGCGGCGTAATAAGAAAAATCATAACGGAAATTGAAAGAGCGGAATGAGGCGAAATAGACTTCAAAATAAATTACTTTGTAAATATATAATATTAAGGATGCAAATATCCTTCACATTGACAATGTGAATGTTCAAAAGTTAATATTCGTAATTCATTGATTAGATTTGGTTTTCACTAAGAGATGGTCCCACATTTTAAAAAAAGATGTTTTACTACTATCTGCCATTCGATTGAATTCCGATATTATAAAAAATCCTATCAGCCATGAAGCGATATCTCGTCTTTAACAGAAGTATATTCTAGACATTTGAAGGAGGTAAATATTTTCATTAACTTCAGAACAAAAAAACTAACAGTAGTTTTGCCTACAGATATATAACCTCAGGATAGGGTTTGACCTAAGTTTTTTGGAAATCCTGGAACTTTTGTTGGAGAGGTAAAAAAATGTTGACCCCATATTCCATTTTGACTTCAGAAGAAGAAAATCGAGCACTGATTTTACATAGATATTTATCTGCTTATTTTATCTCCTTTAAAATTAGGAATATTTTTGGGGATCGTACCAGAGAGAATTTTCAAATTTTCGACCTTGGAATAAATGAATATTTTAGTATACAAAGTTTGAAGAGGATATGTGAAGCATTAGCAGGTTTTTAGTAGATATGATTATTCCAAATTGTTGATTTTTGCACCTTTGGAGCCAAGTTTGATGTAAATATAACGATGTGCGAAGTTTCATCTCTATCGGAAACAACTTGCGATTTATTTGAGATTTATAATTTTTTCAAGGAGCTGACCAGAAATGATAGAAATGATGGAATATCAGTCATTATCTTCATTCGAAAATCTGATCATATTTTTGCCTGAGCTACTAGAATAAGTCAAGCCGTTACTTTTTTTTAGGATGGACCAAGTTAAAGGCTCATTTGGTTTTCTAGATACCAAATTTTTATAATTTTCCCTATTTGAAGGGGCACAAGAACGGGAGGGTGTGGGTCGACACTGCCTATATTCGGACTCTATATAAGTTTGACTAAAAATATTAGCATTTGACGAAATTTTTACCAAATTGGATACTTTCTTCATTATCTACCGTGCGCCTCCCCAACTAGGCAGGCAAGCAGGCAGACAGCCAATTTAGACGTTTAAAATGTTTTAAACCCACGGCTGAGGAGATAAAAACCGTATAAACAGAAGGTCATCCAGTTATACCCCCATATGGCTATATCATTTGATACGGGCAAAACGTGCCTCATCGAAATAACGGTTTTTAGACCTTAGGTCTCTTTGGACCAAATTCGTTTCAGAGCATTTGGAGTCGATGTCCATCCGCCCGTCTATCTCTCTGTCTATCTGGCTGGCTGGTGCGCACGATAAATCTCGAAAGGAGTATCCGATTTGGTGCAAACTTGGTACATCGTAATATTATGATCAAAATTATATCAAGTTCGGAGATGAGCAATATCTGTTCACTCCTTTTGGTACCACAGAGAGAAAATGGATGATTTTCTCCAACTTTGCAAATCCTAATATTTGCCTCAGTTCTAGGTCAGGTGCGAAAATGGACAATATCGGTTCACTCCGTCAAGTACCTCCCCCACAAAGGGTCAAAATTCTGAATAATTATAACTCTTATAAAGTGTGATGTAAGAATTACACATATCACATAACTTTTAAAAACCCGAGGTCTGGTGGGAAGACGGAGTATATGGGTCCACTCCTTCTGGTAACTCCCCCACAAGGGGTTAAAATTTTGAATATCAATGAAGCTCATAAAACACGAAATTAACCTTCGATTACATTTAGACTTGGCACATCTCAATATTTCTATCAACACATGAACTGTTATAAAGTGGTCGAGATCGGATCATTTCTTCTGGTACCTCACCCACATAGGGTTCAAGATTTTTGAAAAACAAAATACTTAAGAAACGGAAACAATCATACAACTCTCTTCAAATTTCCCACATCCAAATATTTTCGATCCAACCCCTTCCGATACCTCACACACTAAGGGTCAACATTTTCAATACCTCCAAAAATCTACTAGTTTTGAAATTTTCTTCAAAATCATAATAGGGTTTCCCTTTATCGTAGTTAAATCTTTTGCATTCTTGCAATTCTGGAGCAGAACAAGTATTATAGCCACCAACTTTACCGATAGTATCAATATTTTTGGTGGCAGGCATTGAAAACATCGATACAATAGTGGCTTTTCAAATCTTAGTAATCATTGACCCTTTGACAACTCAAATTTGTTCCCATTTCTACAAAAGAGTTTTTCGTTTTATAATCCCTTAGGAAATTAACATTTTAACTATTTCGCCCTTAGCTGTACTCGTTTGCAACGGATTTATATATCTTATGTTTTTCTTTAATTCTTTTTTCTTAATAAAATCTCCTCCGTGCAGCCTTTACGAAAAATCATCAGATTTATATGCCCTATAAAATATTAAAAGTTATTTTTTTAAAACCTCGTCTCCTTAGAAATACTCATCCAAAAATTGTCCCAGGTTCTGCGAACTTTCAAGCCTTTTTTCAGAGCATTATTTTTCTTATAGAACCTAAAACCTAAACACCGATATTTAAATACAGCTTCTGGTATCACAAACATTTAAAAGATATATTATTTATGTATATCTCTTTGTTATGCTTTGGCCTTTTGATGGACACGGAGAATTTTGATTTATGCGGATGGATGGTTCATTTCATGTCATCTTTTTAATTCTTCTCGCTTTCGTATCTACGCCGATGTCCGCTTGTTTATATAGATTTTGACATGGATGTTCAAGCAAACGTCACTCGAAGTGAAATGACGTTGAAACTGGCGAGGAAAAAAAATATCATATAACGGATATAAAAAATACTCCCACCTAAAGAAAGGTCTTCGAATGACGTCAAAGGGGGAATTGTTTTATTTTAATTTAAAAAAATAATAAAAAATATTTTATTATTATTGAATCCTTTTTTAAACAATAAATTAATTAAATATTTGTTTTATTGCCTTTCCAGACATCCTCTCACCCACCACACCCAATGCCAGCCTGGGTGGCAATTCCAGTGACGGCAACACCGGCGAGGGTAACGGTCTCATATCCGGTGGCCACGAACAGCTCAGCGCCAACGACAAGCTACTGCTTTCGCTCGAAAAACAACTCAACATTGAAATGAAAGTGAAAAACGGAGCCGAAAATATGATCCAATCACTGCAGAGTGGCCACTATGGGCGTGACAAAAAGCTGCTGGGCGAGGCCCAACAAATGCTGACAGATTCTAAGGCGAAAATCGAATTCCTACGTTTGCGTATACTGAAAGTCAAGCAGAACAAGGAGCATGCCTACAAACTGTCGCAGCAGGTGGCCATGGATGCGGCCGACAATGGCGGCAGCAGTGGACCCGGCAGTGCGGGTGGTCTGCTGCCGCAACGTTTGGAGACCTCGCTGGAGGAGAGAATCGAAGAGTTGCGGCATCGTTTGCGCATCGAGGCCGCCGTTGTCGATGGAGCGAAAAATGTGATACGCATTTTACGAAATAGTAAAGTGCCAGATAAAAAGGCTTTGCAAGAGGTAAGTGGCGGGAATTTCCCTCAAGACATGATTTATTTATGATGTCATGGTTATTATACTCTTGGTTTCGCGCTACTTGATATATATCTATATTTGTATTTTTTTTAATGATTCATGTAACCCAATGAGTTGGTGGCCAGAATGATGACCCACCACCGCCATCATCGTTTTTTTGTGTTTCTGTGGCATCTTTTTTTTTCAAATGGTGTGCCAACAGAACTTCTAAATATATTTGACCTATTTTATCCATTTGTTAATGCTAATTACTTTAATGTTTAAAACACCATGCACATATGCGCGGATTTTTTTTCTTTTTTTGCATTATGGGAACATCTTCTTTGTTCATTTACTCTGTGATGTTATTTGATTTAAACAGTGGATACCACAATGGATACCATTCACGATGTAACTAATGTTTAAAGCAGATTTCCATAATATAAAAATCACATTTCGATAGAGCGGATAAAGCTATAATATGACGAGTATAATTATTGAACCACATTTATATAAGGTGGATAATATATAAACCGCTTCGGATAACGTGGATAATGTTAAAACCCTAATTTTTCAAAAATGGATAATGTATAGATCTTTTGGATAAACTGGATAATATAGAAAATATTTCTATTAAAGTGTACAGTTCTTAAATCGCATTTGGATAAAGTGGATAATTTTTAAAATACATTTGGATAACGTGGATAATGTTTAAATCATATTTGGAAGACGTGGATAATGTATAAATCTCATTTGGATAATGTGGATAACGGCATATGATTAACGTGGATAATGTCCTACGGCATTTAGATAACTTGGATAATGTCACACGACATTTGGATAATGCAGAAATCACATTTGGATAACGTGGATAATGTTTAACTCACATTTGGATAAAGTGGTTAATGCAGAAATCACATTTGGATAACGTGGATAATGTTTAACTCACATTTAAATAAAGTGGATAATGCCGAAATCACATTTGGATAAAGTGGATAATGCAGAAATCACAGTTGGATAACGTGGATAATGAATAAATCACATTTGGATAATAATGGATAACTGCATTTGGATAATGGATAATGTGGATAACTGTATTTGGATAACGTGGATAATGTCACACGACATTTGGATAACGTGGATAATGCTAAACGTCATTTGGATAAGGTTGGTAACGTTAAACCACATTTGGATAAAGTGGATAATTTTTAAAATTGTCCATATAATTTAGATAATGTTCAGACCACATGTGGATAAGGTGGATAATGCGTAAATGGCATAGGGATAATGTGGATAACCGTATTTGGATAACATGGATAATGTCACACGACAATGTAGATAACGTGGATAATGTTTTATTCCTATTTGGATAACGTGGATAACATTTTACCAATATTTGTATAAAGGGGATAAGATTTTATCCACATTTTAGTGAGGCGAAAAATAAAATAATTTTATCCGCGTGGATAATAATTTACTCCCATTTTTAAGACGTGGATAATATTTTATCCACGTGAATGCTAATTTATTATCATTTGGGTAATGCGGATAAAATTTTATCCACGTTGATAATAATTTTTCCCCACGTGGATAATATTTTTTCCTCCTTTTAATGGCGCGGATAAGATTTTATCTACGTGGATAATAATTTTTTCTCATTTTATTGACGTGAATAACAGTTTAATCTCATTTTTAAGACGTGGATAATATTTTATCCACGTGAATGCTAATTTATTATCATTTGGATAAGGCGGATAATATTTTATCCGCTTTAATAATAATTTGTCCCCATATTGGGAATGTGGATAAGATTTTATCCACGTGGATAATATTTTTTTCTCCTTTTGATGGCGTAAATAGGATTTAATCCATGTGGATAATAATTTTTCTACATTTGAACGACGTGGATAATATTTTATCCACGCGTGGATAACAATTTGCTCTCATTTTAAAGACGTGGATAATATTTTTTTCCACGTGGATGCTAATTTATTGTCATTTGGATAATGCGGATAATATTTTATCCACTTTGATAATAATTTGTCCCCATATTAGGAATGTGTACGATTTTATCCTCGTGGATAATCATTTTTCCTCCTTTTAATGACGTGGATAAGATTTTGTTCACGTGGGTAATAATTTTTCCTCCTTTGAAATGGCGTGGATAAGATTTTATCTACGTGGATAATAATTTTTCGTCATTTTAATGACGTGGATAATATTTTATCCGCGTGAATAATAATTAACTCTCATTTTTAAGACGCGGATAATATTCTATCCGCGTGGATAATAATGTATCCTCATTTTAATGACGTGGATAGTATTTTTTTTCTTTTGATAACATGGGTAATATATTATCCATGTGGATAATAATTCATCCGTATTTTAATAACGTGGATAATATTTTATACGCGTGATCAATAATTTATCCACATTTTATTAGCGTGGATAATATTTTTTCTCATTTTGATAACATGGATAATATTTTATCCATGTGGATAATAATTTTTACGCATATTGACAAAATGTATAATATTTTATCCATGTGGATAATAATTTGTCAGCATTTTAATAAAGTGGATAATATTTTATCTTCGTGGATAATAATTTATCCACATTTCAATAACGTGGATGACATTTTATGCGTGGATAATAATTTTGTCTCATTTTGATAACATGGGTAATATTTTATCCATGTGGATAAAAATCTATACCGATTTTAATAACGTGGATAATATTTTATCGACGTGGATAAGAATTCATCCACATTTTAATAACGTGGATAATATTTTATGCGTGGATAATAATTTTGTCTCATTTTGATAACATGGGTAATGTTTTATCCATGTGGATAAAAATCTTTACCGATTTTAATAACGTGGATAATATTTTATCGACGTGGATAAGAATTCATCCACATTTTAATAACGTGGATAATATTTTATGCGCGTGGATAATATTTTTTTCTCATTTTGATAATATGGATAATATTTTATCCATGTGGATAATAATTTTTTCGCATATTGACAACATGTATAATATTTTATCCACGTGGATAATAATTTGTCCGCATTTTAATAAAGTGGATAATATTTTATCTTCGTGGATAATAATTTATCCACATTTCAATAACGTGGATGACATTTTATGCGTGGATAATAATTTTGTCTCATTTTGATAACATGGGTAATATTTTATCCATGTGGATAAAAATCTATACCGATTTTAATATCATGGATAATATTTTATCAACGTGGATAATACTTTATCCACACTTGGATAATGAGGATAATATTTTATCCATGTGGATAATAATTTATCCGCATTTTAATAATGTGGATAATATTTTATCTTCGTGGATATTAATTTATCCACTTTTTTATAAAATTGGGGATACAATTTTGATTTGATAATATTTTATCCATATGGATAATATTTTATCCTCATTTATAACGTGGATAATATTTTATCGGCGTGGATAATAAATTTTTCTCACTTTTATAACATGGATAATATTTTATCCATATGGATAGATAATATTTCATCCACGTGTATAATAATTTGTCATAATTTTGATAAAGTGGATAATATTTTGTCCACGTGGGTAAAATTTTTTTCCGTGTGGGAAATATTTTATCATCATTTTATTGACGTGGATAATATTTTATCCTCATGGATGATAATTTATCCCAATTTTAATATCTTATATTTTATCCACTTGGATAACAATTTTTCCCCATTTGGATATTGCGGATAATACTTTATCCACTTGGATAATTGTTAATTCTCATTTAGATAATGTTGAAAATTTTTTATCCTCTTGGATGAACCTCATTTTAAGGACGAGGATATTTTTTTTAATCCACATTCGGATAATATAAGCACATTATTTCTCCTTTTGATCTCGATTCTGACTTTCCTGATCTTTTTCCATTTATTTTTTTTTCTTAACTCACTTTGCCACATCTGTCAAACTATGCCATGTTCTGACTTCTCATAATTTGCACATTTTTCCCTCTAAATAAAATTTCCCATTTAATGACTCTCCCAAAACCCTATACACGTGTTTAGGTACTTAAAAATCTGTTCCTTATGCCATGCACACACACATACAGTTCCGAATACTTTGTATGCAACATAATTACGTCAACTCAGTACAATCTGGCACCGACCCACCGCTGCCTGGTGTCTGGTAATCACTCATGGCCGACAGATCGTCTGCTTTCATTTCGATGCAGATCACAGTGACTTTTTATGAATTTTTATTGCCTGAAAGGCAACAGGGTGCCGCCATGTCTGTTTATAATTTGCCTTTATTTTCGAAATTTATTTTTTTTTTGTTTTTTAGAGGAGAGTGATCCCTTCATTGAAATGATGCATCCATCCAAACAAATCTGGCATAGATGACCCATATTTGCGGTGCATCTTTTAGTTTTGTGCCTCCGACCACATTAAAGAGATCCGAGTTTTTTTTATTTGTTTATTTTTGAATTGAAATCCCCTTTGGGGGTAGTGATGGTGGTTGTTGCCTGTTTTATGGCGTCTTCTCGTTAAGTTGGATCCCAAATTTAGTTTACGAAATCCCTCCGCCCAGTAATTATGAGTGAGTGTTGTTAACAGCAAAAACAAAAAAAAGCTTTGAAAAAATAAATACAATTTTTTATTGGCTGCAAATGAGTTATGCACCCAGAACAATTTAATCGAACTATTGTTGCAGCCAAGTATATATCTTCAAAGATGAATGTTCTAGAAACTTTAAGTGTGCGGCAGAACTTGAAGAGATCGACATTTTTGTTATTACCTGTTAATGGCTGTGAGAAAATTTCCCCAAGTCTTTGAGGAGGTGTGGGAAATTTACATAATTTTTATAGTTGCGGCATCTCAAGTACCAAATTCAGACATGTTTGCTGGTCATGTAGCTAAAATTTACCTTAAGATCGTATTTTGTCTGAGAATTCATATTTCAGTTTTAAAACAATGAGACACTACTCAAAATATTATATCAA